AGAAACACTGACCTCTATTTATACAAGGTTGTCAAAAAAGGTCATTTTCTCTTTGAGGAAAGAGGTTACACGACCCTACCTAGAACAATCAGAACCTCAAGTCTTGATATCTGTTTGTACAGTATTACAAAAATGACAAAATGGCTAATTTGATCAAAAAGCTTAGTGGTATTCTACAGAGAATTTTTTTATTTGTACATCCATGTTACTACACCTCAATTTACAGTAACTAACCAAACCAGAGGAAACAAGTAATAACAATTATAGAAGGAAACAAAATAGAAACAAAACCACAAAATATCCAAAACATCAGAGATGAAAAGATGGACTTCTAAAAGTTTAGACAAAATTTATACATAACTGATCCAACTATACAAAAAAGAGAAAAGACCCAAATTAACCAAATCATAGACAAAAAAGGAGACGTGACAGTGTATATCACAGAAATGCAAAGAAGCATCAGGAATTACAAATAGGCATAGCAATAAACTGCAAAATCCATAAATTTTTCGGTTTCTGGAAACATATTTTACCAAAATTGAGTCTTGAAGATATGGGAGACTTAAATAGACAGAACCAATGTACAGACTGAAGCAGTAATGAATACACGCAAAGCAAATTAAGGCCCAGAGCCATATGGCTTTAGAGCTGAATTCCATCAAATGATTTAAAGCTATCCCCACTTCATAAACAGCTGAAAACAAGTGAAAGGGTAGAAATTCTCCCAAACTTCTTCTACAAAGCCAGATGCACCTTAATTTGCCAAAGAGCAAAAGATGCTCAGATTCTAGATTCACCTTTCCTAATGTACACCTCCTGAGTTTGTCTTTCATTTTATGAGCTATTCTGCACCTTTCCTTAATAAAATCTGTTTAGGGACTGGCATTGTGGTAGGTTAAGTCACTACCTGTAACACCCCCAGCCTCCCATATGGTGCCGGTTCAACTCTCAAATACTCTACTTAATCTAGCTATCTATGAATGTGCCTGGAAAAATAGTGTGAACAGGTCCAAGTGCTTGGGTTCCTACACTCATATGGGAAACCTGAAAGAAGCTGCTGGTTCCTGGCTTCCTTATAGCCCAGCTCTAGCTGCTGCAGCCATCTGGGGAATGAAACAGTTGATAGAATATCTTCCTCTTTTAAATAAAATAAATATTTTAGAAAGAAAAATAAAATTTATTTAATTATTCAACAAAAACATCCTATACAAGATACTTCAATTCACTGTTTTATTTTAAAAATATGGATGGAGTGGGCATTTAGCATAGCAGTTGAGACATGAGTCAAAATGCCCACAAACCACTTAAGAATAACTGAACTTGATTCCTGATTCCAGCTCTAGCTTGTGGTTCCAACTTTCCGCAAATGTAAATCCTGGGAGGGCACAAGGGAGAGCTCAAGTAACTGGACCTCCACAACCCTTGTGGAAGATCTGGATTGAGTTTCTGATTCTCAGTTCTGGCCATGGCTCTGACAGCTCACAGCCTCAGTCACTATGGGCATTTGGAGAGTAAACCAGCAGACTGTAGCTCTCTCTGCCACTTCCAACTCTGACACTCATTTTTTTTAAAATTATAACTCCATAGAATCTTTAATCCTACAGAATTTTGTATGGAGAAAAGGCATTGACCCAGGGGCACAGAGACATAGCAGGTGAAGATGCCACCTGTAATGCCAGCATTCCAAATGGGTGCCCGTTGGTATCCTTGAAGCTCCACTCAAATGGAAGAACTATAAAAAATTCCTGCTTGCTGGCCTTGGCCTGGTCCAACACCAGCTGTTGCAGCTATCTGGGGAATAAATCAGCAGAAGGAAGATCTGTCTCTCTCTGACTTTAACTAACTAACTAAATAATTTATTAAAATTCACACACATACTGACTTGGATATTTTTGATGATAATGGGAAATGGGATGGGTTTCCAAATATTCAACCCCCTCATTTGTTATTTTACTGCACAATTTAAACCCCCCAAACTATTGGATGACTTTTTTTTTAAGTCTTCAAAAATACTTAAAGGTCTAATACAAAATAAGGGTATAAAGAAAATCCTCATCAACTTCAATAATAAAATCAAAGAAATCATAAACCAACTGAATCTTGGGAGCAAGTAAACACATTCAAAGGTCCAAAATTAACTTGTATTTAAAACACTGCTAGGTGATGGCACAGTGGTGTCTTTGGTTAAGCTGCCACCTGCAATGCTGACATTCTATACCAAACAGCCAGGTAGAATCCTGTTGGCTGCTCAGTTTTGACCTAGTTCCCTGCTAAAGTTGCTTGGCCCAAGCACTATGCACTGTTACCCACATGGGAGACATGGATGGAGATCTAGGCTCCCACTTCCTGGATAAACCTTGGTGGTTGTGGCCATTTGGGAAGTGAACCAGCATATGGACAGACATCTGTCTGTGTATGTGTCACTCTGCCTTTCAAATAAATAAAACTTAAAACAACTACTGTTCTATTCCTTTTATTTTACTTATTATTATTATAATCATTTTATGATACATTTCCATAGGCCCTGGGATTTCCCTTATCCCCTCCCCAATAGCCTCCCCACTGAGTTCCCCTATATTATTACTATAGCATAGTATTCATAAACAGTCATATGTCCATCATTGCAGGCATGGACAATAGCAGAGAGTCCAGCATTCTATTGTCAAGATATAATAAACAGTATCACAGGGAGTCCATCCTTATTCTGGAGGTAGAGATGCATACTGCATTGTAGCCTCACAACTGGATATGATAGCCTTTAGTACACAGCTACTATACATCTCCTTAAATGAAAAGCCACAAAACAAGATCAGTAACAGGAAGAAAAAAGAAATTAACAACACCATGAAGTTAAATAACATGCCACTGAATGACTAATGTGTAGCTGAAGAAATGAAAATCAAGAACCTTCTGGAAGAAAATGATGCTACTGTATGATCTAAGTATGATCTTTGCTGGTGAGATATGTCTACTGTATGCAACACAGATTTTTTTTTTAATCCAGCCTACTGATCTGTGATGTTTGATTGATGAGTTTAAATCATTTACATTCAGGGTTAATATGAATAGGTGGTAATTGGTTCTGTCCCTTTAGCAATGGGTTGTTCATTGATTTAGTCTTCTGTTGTCATTTTACTGGATTGTTCTTCACATTTGCCTTTGGTTTGGGTGGGTGCTATTTCTTTTCTCTGTCAGGAGAACATCTTCTAGTACCATTTGTAGGTCAGGTTTGGAAGACGCAAATTCTTTTTTCTTTACTGTGGAGCAATTTTATTGCATTTTCAAAGACAAAGGAAAGCTTTGCTGGGTACATTATCCTGTGTCGACAACTTTTTCCTTTTAGGATCTAGAATATGTCGCCCCATTCTCTTCTTGGCTGTAGAGTTTCCTGTGACAGGTCTCCTATGAGTTTAGTGGACATTCCTTTATATGTCAGTTGATTTTTTTTCAGGTGCACATTTAAGGATCTTTTCCTTATGTTCAATTGAAGAGAGCTTGATGATTATGTGTCTTGGCGAAGATTGCTCTGGTCAACCCTGTTGGGAGTTCTGTGCCCCTCTTGAATGTTGTTTCCCAATTCTTTCTTCATATTAGGAAAATTTTCATTGAATATAGCTTTAAACCCAGCTTTATAACAAGTGTTTTGAATTCTGTATCCCCCATTTCCTCAATATCTTTCTCAGTGAACTCTGAGGTTGGCAAAGGTGTTTGTTCCTTTGCAGGAGAGTCTTCAGTGCAACGTACTGAGCTCAGTGAGTTTGCTCCAAGCTCAGCACATGCACAGCTCACTGTTGTTCCTACAGTCTTGGAAAGTTTTTCCACATTGGTGCCTGATGTGTCACTACTAGAGCTCTTGATCTGCTGGCCATCCGGTCTGAAGTCTTAGGTGGAATCTGTAGGATGGCATTCTGTTGTAGTTCACTGAGTCAGAAATGAATTCATTCCCAGCTCAGTGCATCCATGGTCCTGTCCCATAGCGTTTGCCTCCTTAAGCAAAATGGGGTCCAATTCAGCTCCAGGGGGCAGACTGAGCTATGATATTCACCCCGTTCTTACACTGCCCGTCTGGACCTGCTGCTCTGTCTCTGCTCCTGGTCAAATCAAACAGACCAGCAGGATGAGCAGTCTGGATTCACCTCCTGAGCTCCCAGTGAACATCCCTTCCCACATGGTTGCTGGTAGAGTTCCAGCTACTGCTGCAATTCAGATCGCCACTCAATGAATGCCACCGGGGTATCGGTCACTGCAACACCACACCATTGTATCCACTCCTTTCCTGTGTCTGTCAATCTCCAAGTACTCCTCTGCTGTTGTTCTGTCCTCTCCTGTTTTCTGGACTGTGCCTTCTCTGTTTCACCCTGGCTAATGTATCTATGTCTGTTTAAACGTTTCCTTACCCTAATCGACTTCTTGATTCTCAACAAATACTGTTCTAAATTTTAAAATGCTGTTTTGTAGAACACTACCTTATTACCATAGAAATAACTGCTACCATCATTATTATTCTATAAAGATCTAAGTAAACTCTTATCAGATTTAATAGCCAATTCAGTATGGGTGAGGTTCTACCTCTAGCTTCAGACTGGTTAGCCAGGCCTCCCAGAGAGCTTTGCAATAGATAGTTGCTGCTGTGGCGTTGTGTACAATGTTAGCACCCTGCAATCAACACAACTCAAAACCTGCAGCTATGACCAGATGACAGCGTCTATAATACAAGGGAGGTTAACAATACCAACTTTTGGCATTTCCATGATGTAGAAGGAAGAATCTCTGCCTCAAAACAAAACTGAAAGGTAAGAAGTTCCTCAAATATGGAAGGGGGTTCATATGTTAGTGCTTTTAAGACTAATGAGATTTCATGATGGTACTTCTATAGCTAAAAGATAGATATTCACAGGCTTGAGTGAAGTTAAAGGAGATTTTCAGAGAGGTCATAAAAGCCACATCTAACACTGCTATCTAGAAATCTTTGGTACCAACAAAATAAATTACAAGCTTACCTTGTAATAACGGAAATAATCTCGCTCCTGTAATTGTTTTATTTTAGGGAAGATTTTGTAGGTGTTGAAGTTGTCAATGCTGTCAATATCACACAAGCAATCTCCTAGAACGCCAGTGACCTAGAATACACAATATTTAATACATTCATATTATAATTATATTTTATATATTAAATTAGCAAATTGCTGTTTCAGCCTTGTTAAATTTGTACTATTACTACATTATAGTATTCAGTATCTGCTGAGGAAGGTTTACAACATTAAAGCAGTCATTTTTTTACTGTGATGAATGAAATTTTAAAAGTAAATATATCCATTCTGAAAATGCAACATTCTTGTTAAATTCTCCTTTTTCTGTCTAAACCTCCACTGCAATGGTAATCTCGTTTTTATTAATCTAAAAGTCACAGACTATAATACAGTACCTGTAGCAGTAGCTCATCTTTCTTTTGGGCTACGATTTATGAAACACTTTTTTAATAAGGCACAGTGATAAGAGCTTTACACACTTCCATACTTATTCTTCAAAAGTATCCTATTTTGAGCAGAGATTTGAGTCTCTTGGTTAAGAACCCCCAGCTCCCAATATGAAATTCTGTTCTTTGCTCTGGCCCTAGATTCCAATCTCCTGACAATACACACTTTAGAAGGCAACAAGCAATGGCTCAAGTAGCTGGATTCTACTTGAAGTAGAAGTAGCCACCTGTGTGAGACCTGGACTAAGCTCTCAGCTCTGCCAGGCCCAGTTCCAGCTTCTGTGGGCACTTGAGGGATAAATCAGCAGATGGGAAGGAGGGTGTTTGCTTGTTCTCTCTCTCTGTCTCTCTGTCTCTCTCTCTCTCTCTCGCCCTTGCTCTCTCAACTTAAAAAAAAAATCTGAAGTACCCTATAAATAATATTATTAAATGCACTTTGATAGTGAGATTAAGGTTTAGCAAGTTTGAAATAATTTTCCCAAATAGATATGTAAATTATTCCCAAAATATCAGACTTATAAAATACTCTTAGCCAATATTCAAAGTATGAATTAAACCTAGAAAAGAAATCAATAGCTACAAAGTGAATTCAGAGTTTAAAATTTACATAAAACATTTTCCAGCTAAATTAAAAGCACAATTCGTTGACTGATACACACTTAGAATTTTCCAGAAACCAACTGCAGAGAGGGAAAAAGCCAATTCCAAAAGGTTACATACTGTATAATTCTACTTATAGAACTTTTTAAAATGGAAATCTTTAGAAATAGAGGACATATTGTTTGTTTCCAGGGTTTAGGAACTGGGGGAGGTGATGAGAGTTAAAGCTAAAGTGGAAATGGAGTGAGAATAAAGTAGTATGGCTAAAAAAAAAAATCAACAGGGAGAAATGTGATAAAACTCATCAGTCACCTTGACTGTGGGTATGGATAAACAAACAAACAAAAAAAGGTTTAGCACACACACACACAACTGTGACAAGTAAAATAAGAAATGTGAATGGGCTATACTAATGTCAATATTCTGATTATCAAACTACACAAGATACCACCATTGAAATAATTGAATAAAGGTACCCTATCTTTGTATTATTTTTTACAACTGCATATGGACTTACAATATGGATATATGTAAGCACTGAGCAGAAAATGGAAACCAGCTCTTTTCAACTTTTCTCTCATCCTTTCCCAGGCCACAAGCAGGGAGCTGGATGGGAAGAGGGGCCACCAGGATTAGAACCAGCGCCCATATGGGATGCCGGGGCGTTCAAGGCAAGGACTTTAGCCACTAGGCCACACCGCTGGGCCCAAGACACAAAGATCTTGCACCTGCTGATTCACTTCTCATGTGGCCACAGCAGCCAGAGCTAAGTTGATCTGAAGCCAGGGCCCCAGAGTTTATTCCTGGTTTCCCATGTGGTACAGGGTCCCAAAGCTTTAGGCCATCCTCTATTGCTTTCTCAGGCCACAAGCAGGGGCTCGATGCAAAGTGGAACAGTGAGGACATGAACCAGCATCCACATAGGATCCCAGTGCATGTAAGGTGGGGATTTAGCCACTAGGTTATCACATCAGGCCCATATCTATAACTTTAAAAGGCTACTATTAAGATACAAATTGTGCATCATTAAAATTATAGAAAAAAAAAAAGCAGAAATGAAACAGCGCTAACGCCCTCTCAGTCTCTTCTTCCTACTTCTCTTTGGAGGCAAAAACCAATCTTATTCTGTTACTAATTCTAATTTTCTTGGTAATATGCCATAAATAACATACCCCCCCTCTATTTTTGAAGTTTAATATTAATAGAATGGAATGTGTAGATTTTTCTATAATATTCTTCCTTTGCTGAGGCTGGCACTGTGCCAGTGTGCTAAGTTGCCATGTGCAACAGCATCACACATAAGTGTCAGTTCAAGTTCCAACTGTTCCACTTCTAATCCAGCTCTCTGCTAATGTGCCTGGGAAAGCAGTGGAAAATGGCCCAGCTGTTTGGGCCTCTGAAATTCATATGGGAGATTTAGATGAAGTTCCAGGCTCCTGACTTTAGCTTGGTCCAGCCCCAAATTTTGTGGCCATTTGGGGAGTGAATTAGCAGATGGAAGATCTCTGTTTTTCAAATAAATATTTTCTTAAAATATGCTTCTTTTGCTAACATTTTCTTTTGCCCATCAATCCACAAGCATGAGCTTTTGGTAAGTGTATTCATTTTCCCTGCTGTGTTGTGTTACATGAAAATACCACCATTCATTCTACTGTTAATACACATACAGTAAGCAGAATAACGGCACCCCACAAATATGCTCAGGACTTAATTCCTGAAATGTCTGAATGAAATCTTACATGATAAAAACTACGTGAATAAGCTAAAGATCTTGAGGTGGGGGAACAACACTAGGTCTGTTCAAGTGGAACCACGAGAATGAAACAGCCAGAGACAAAGCTTTCCTATGCTGCCGGCTCTCATGATGCAGGAAGAGGTCACCAGCCAAAGTTCACAGAAGCCTCTAGAAGCTTGCAAAAGGTAAGCAACAATTCGCTTCTAGTAGCTCTAGAAGGAATGCAATCTTGCGGATATGTTGATTTTATACTGTAAAAACCACCCCCAGAATAAATTTATGCTGCTTGATGTCATTAAGTTTGTGACAATCACTATAGAAACAGGAAACGAATACAACCCATATTTAGGTTGTTTGCATATTTTGCTGAAGAATGTTATACACACATTCTTGTATACATAGTCTCTTACATGAAGAGTTTCTCCAGGCTATAAGCTCAGGAGTAAACTCTGTTCAGTTACATTGGAAAATGGCAGGCTGATTTCCAAAATAGTTGTATCAGCTAATGATCCAACCAACAATGTATGGGGATTACTGTCGAGCCACATCATTATCAATATTTAACATTAATCTATGCTTTATTTTTGCCATCTCAGCAAGCATTAAAGGGTATCATTTTTATCTGCATTAAAGAGGCAATACATTCACATTTCATGACATTTTTGAAAATGTATCCAAAAGAGTTACAGAGAGGAGGAGAGCCATAGAAAGAGACTGCAAGAGAGAATGAATCATCTTCCATCCCCTAGTTTGCTCCTCAAATGACTAAAGACAAGGGCCGAAGCTAGGAACGTCAGTCTCCCATGTGAGTATAAGAGCCCAAAAACTTAGACCATCTCTGCTGCTTTCCCAGGCCATCTACAGGGTGCTAGATTTGAAGCAGAGAGCTGGGACACAAACTAGTACCCATATGGGATGCCTCAATATAAGCAATGGCCTTACTCGCTACACAATATTGGGTACTTTCTTTTCTTGCGTGAAATGTCTACGTGTACTTTTTGTTCATTTTTCTATTGGGCTCTCTCTTACATACTGATCTGCAGAAATCAATATTGATTCTTTCCTATTCCTTCATATGCTCCCGGAACACCAGTTAGACACACTAGACCTTCTTATTGTATTCTCCATGTCTCTTAAGTCCCATTTAACATTGATTATCCCATTGTCTCTCTGGAATTCATTGTGAATAATTTATTTGCATTAATCTTTCATTTATTTATTCATTAAATGTACTTATTGAGACCTAACACAAGCTTTGTACCAAGTGCTAGAAATATAGAATTCTGTAGTGGGAAGAAAAAATTCTACCCTCATAGAACCTATTTCATAGAATAAAAGGGAAATTTAGTACAGGATTTGTGAGTTTACAATAAGTGATATGGGAAAAAACTAAGAAATGAAAATAGGGATTGCAGAATGGTGGCTGCACATTATAAAATCGGAGAGTTATGAAGGTCTCCATAGTTTTGGTAAATCTTGAAAGAGGGAAAAATATTCAGAGAATACTAAGTGAAAGCTTACTGAAGCAGTAAGTTTAGCCAATATTTTTGAAAAATGAGAAATGTGAAGTAGTAAGGAGAAAATTGAGATATTTTTAAAAGCCTGCTTTATTTATTTGAAAGGCAGAATAACAGAGACCTTCCATTGCTGATTTACTCTCCCAGTGGCTGCAAGAGTTGGATTCAGCCAGGCTGAAGCCAGGAGTTAGGATCTCCACTGAGAGGCAGGTGACAGACACCTGAGCCACCTTCCACCACCTTCCAGGTACATTAACAGGGTAGTTAGACAGGAAGTAGAGCAGCCAAGACTGAAACAAGTACTTCATACGGGATGCTGGCATTGCAAGTGGTAGCTAAACCCACTATACCACAATGCCAGTTGCTTTATAATACTTCAGTCTTTTTTAAGTCTGAGATGTATTCTCATACCAATCAATTCTCTCAAAGATCAATGAGGTAACCAGCAATTTATTTCTAATACTAACCATTAGTTGATGCAGATCCACAGGTTTAGAGCCAAAGTCCCACAAAATTGTCCCCACTTTAGACGCTGATTTCCATTCAGGCCATTTGTTCTTCTGACAGACTTTAAAAATCAAGAGTTCCCCAGAGCTTTGTTTTTAAAGCTTGATAATTTGTTAGAATGCCTCACAAAAACTCCTTAACACTTATTTTACAAGTTTATTATAAAGGATACAATTTAGCAACACGGAGCACTGGGCACTGAAGGCAAGGAACCTAAGGGACTTTCCTGCCCTCTCCCAGCATACCACCCTCCCAAGAAGGTCAATGTGTTCCCCATCCAGACATTCATCAAATCTATTTGTTCAAGGCTTGGATTACTGATCTATCTGGTCTTTCTCTTCTTAGTCCCAAACTACAAAATACAGGGTCTTATCTGAAATTACCTCATTAGCATGAACTCAGATGTGATTGAGAGAGGCTAATATTTTTTAAAGATATATTTTTTTTAATTTTGGATTTTATGGTACAATTAAATAGGGTCTGGGACATGTCAAGGGTTTTAGGAGTTCTTAGAATGAGACATAAACCAAATGTGTTTTTGTATCATACTGAATGCAATAGGAAGCCACTGGAAAAGCTTGAGCAAAGAATGAAAAGAATATGTAGTGCCAAGTAAGTAAGATTTCTAGCTTACACTGTATGGCCAGGAAAATTATTTCAGATGAGAGAACATGTTGGATAAATTGACACTTTAGCACAAATCTCAGAAACTGACAGTATTAACCAAATGAATACATAAAATTGTATAATTAATTTTTTTAAATGATAGTAAGTCTCTTATTGATGGACAAACCTATGATATAGGAAAAAGTGAAGATTTCTGGGAACAGATCCTTCAAATGGAAAAGAACAGAACCTATATGAAGGGACTTGAAAAAGTTTATGGGGAAAATGAAATTAAAAGGTAAATTTGAGCAGGGGGGGGGGAGGGGATGTCATTTGGGGTCTGGCAGTTCTACACACGGTACTTGAAACTCAATCCAAGCTCCACTCCTGATGACAGCTTCCTTGTAATGTGTGCCTGGGAGGAAGCAGGTGATGGCTCTAGTAGTTGAGTGCCAGGGAACCAGGAAGCCTGGACTGAGCTCCCAGCTTCCGACTTTGGTCTAGAACAGACCTTTCTGGCCGTATTTGGGAAGTGAATCAGAAAATGGCAGATCCTGTCATCTCCTTTCTTCTCAAAATTTAAAAAAATTTTTTACAGGTATCATTTTAAATCTACTCACAATTTTTTCATACTACACATCTATGGACTCTCTGAAGATCACTCATACACTAGGAAGGACTGCCCTTTGATAACAGCACAAACAACTCTATGGTAACTAACAGGAATTCAAAAATAAATGAGAACAGAGATGAGTGAATGAATACATGTAGATTGCTCTTAAATTTGATTAGTGAGGTCCTGAAAGAATAGGACACTGCAGAGGATTTGCTAGAAAGAATGACATGACATCTAATTCAATCACAATTTTTCAGCTTTGTGTAATCATTCAATCCATCCAGAGTTCTTTATTCTATTTGTAAAATTGTCAGCATTCTTTAAAATCTCATTTCTCTTTTTTACTTAACACACTGTAGTGACATTAAATTATCCGAGATTTTCAGAGTTTGAGGATCATTGCTTGTCCGTTCCTGTCTTCTAATAAACATATTCCCCTCTTACAATGGGCTGTGTCCAAATAACCGTATCCGTATCATGAAAATGTAATTTCAAAATGCATTTAACACACCAACTCAGTGAACAGCATAGCTTAGCAACACAGTATACTCTGAAGTATCAGCTATCTCCTGCTTGTGAATGCATGAATGACTAGGAAAAGTACACCAGTTCCCAACATCCAAGAGTCCTTACCATGTATCGTCAGCCCCCCAAAAGGATCCAAATTCAAAACTTCGAGCATGGTTTCTGCTGAAGGTGGGTTACCTTTACACCATCATAAAATTAAACTGTTCTAAGCTGGTCATCATAAGCCCAGGATTATCTGCATCTGATTCATGGGCTGCTGTCTCTGTGTTTTGTGATTTCTGCTTGTTCATTTGTTGCTACTTTTGGGTTGTTTATTCTTCTACACACTTGAAGTTCAAGAATGTTTTAGGGTTCGAGCTGAATATACTTCTCTAGAGGAGACAGGCATTTGCTTCTTCCAGTAACCCAAGGCACACAAACCCGGGACTGCTTGCTATTAATTACAGTTTCCACTTGATGTTTTTCCCAACACAAATACCAAGATTTTTGCCTGTAACTGTAAGGACTAGTTCGTGTTTACAGAATGTCAAAGAAGTTTCTTCCCTGTCCCTAGTAGCTCTCTCCTTACTAGCACTGGGTTTCATTTCTCATTTACCTTTTCATTGAGCACCTAGAGTTTTGGAGCTCAGATTTCATGGTGGGAATCTCTTACTGGTTTCCTCTGTGAGAAGACATGGGTGTTATTTCTGGCCCACTCCACCCAACACAGCTAGTTGTTAGAGCAGAAACTTAAAAATGTTCAGGGTCTGAGAAAAAATGTCCAGGTGATGAGCTAGTACAACATTATTTGAATCCCAAATTGCTGGCTTTCTACTTGTTCAGGATGGAGGGAGGAGTCTGTGTATTTCTTCAGAAGTTCACTTGGAAAAATTTAAACTATATCTGACTGCAATTCTTTTTTATAGACAGGTTCTTAAATCACTCGTACATACCATGCCTTGATTTTCTAGAGCTTCATCAACCTACAAGAAGCATATTTACATCTCATGCATAAGAAAAACAGTATACAAATGTATTTTGTATGTGTTCCAAAATATTTTTCTGCTTTTATTGCAAGGAAATACATTTGTTTGCTCTTGATTTCTTCTGACTAGATACTTTTCAAAAATTACACTTCTTTATCTGTACTGTTTTTCTACCAATCGAATATGTGGAAGAAGTGGCTGAGATCCATTTTTATTTTCTTCATCTTCTTCTGCTTTCCTCTATTACAGAGGAGGAGATACACAGATACGCCATGGGGAGCAGCAAGAGGTGTACTTTCTGGCAGTATAATATCAGTCCCTCACTTAACATCAGTCACCTCAATGGCCCCACTTCTGGGAGATCTACTAAAATAAGTATTTTAAGGCGTATTACAGGTTAACGTATCATCTAAAACATGATCAAACACTACAGTACAAAGTACCACTGGAAACAAAAACAAATACATTCACTTTAGAGGACTGGCACAGAACTACTTTGAATATGTTTAACTGTTAAACTATATATCAGCATACTCATTTGGATGTAAGGAAATTAACAGTACAGGTGTTATGTATAAAGCACTAATCACACAAACTTAAAAAACTCTAAAAGGAAGCAACTAGTTTGATAAGCATACAATATGTTTCCTAAAAAACATATTGAATCTGGTCGCTCTGGCTGGGTTTTCATTATTTCAGTGTTCCCCACTGGGGGTCTGAAAATAATCCAAAGAATAACCCCATTAGTTATCTGCAGGGTTTATTTAAAACACCAATTCCTGGATCACAGTTCAGACCCACTCAACCAGGATTATCTGGAGCTAGAGTTGGAGAACCTGTATTTTTAACATACTCCTCCTAAAACTGAAGTTTGCCCCTCTTATTTTTTTTAAGATTTATTTATTTTTATTGCACAGTCAGATACATATAGAGAGGAGGAGGGACAGAGAGGAAGATCTTCCGTTCCATGATTCACTACCCAAGTGACCTCAACGGCTGGTGCTGTGCTGATCCAAAGCCAGGAGCCAGGAGCTCTTCTGGGTCTCCCAGGCAGATGCAGGGTCCCAAGGCTTTGGGTCGTCCTCCACTGCTTTCCCAGGCCACAGGCAGGGAGCTGGATGGAAGTGGAGCTGTCGGGATTAGAACCGGTGCCCAAATGGGATCCCGGGCGTGCAAGGTGAGGACTTTAGCTGCTAGGTCTTATTTTTAATCGTAGCATTCATTTAAAAAATGGGTGCTGAGTGAAGACACTGCTCAGGATGCCCACACTCCACAGGCGTGCCTGGACTGCATTCCCAGCTCTGCTTTTATTCCAGCTTCTTGCTCACTCTGGGAGGCAGCAGGTGAGGGGTCCAGTGCTGGGTCTGTGCCACCCAGGTGGGAATCAGGGAGTAGTGCCTGGCTCCAGCCTCCAGCTGGCTCATTTGCTAAGTGAACCAGCAGATGGAAGATTCCTCTCTAGTTTTCTTCCTCTCCTCTCTTCTTCCCTCCCTCCTTCTCCTCTCCCCTCCCTCTTTCAAATAAATTGATACTGAAACAGACACTAAAAAGATACTCAAGCATTCTTGAATTTAGTGCCCAGAGCACAATAACACCATGAGAAAAAGCATCTGTGTAAAGTCAGACAAACATGTTTACATGGCTATACTTAGATTACCTTCCACTTTCCATAGCAATGAGCACTAATTACGTCAAATCGCATTTCCCCCTCATTATCAAGCCACCTGAGAACACTTTTATTTTGTTTTTAACAGTACTGTCACAGCAGGTGCACCCAGCAGCTTGTTCAAATTCGCTAAATTTTTCAAAAACCAGCAAACACCGCTCTTAAGGCAATAGGCTCTAGATTTCTAGGATTTCTAGCATATGGAGAACGCTTCTGTAACATCTGCCTTTACCAACACAACCCCCAAACTCTGAATTGACCCGCCGGCGGGCACCTCACGACTGAGAGCCAAAGCGTGCATCCAATAGCCCTCGGGGCCGACTCAGGAGCCAGGGGTCCTGCTTCGGTTCACCTGCGATGCTACATAACAGCTCACAGCTGGCTACCAAAGCAATCTCGAGCCAGAGGAAAAGCCCAAGAACCTTCAGTCCAGAAGTTAACACAAGTTAGGTCTTGTGTTGCGCCCTCCCAGCCCACTCCGCTGCTGGCAGGGCTGCGGGGGTCCGAGGGACTCTCGAAGGAACGGGCGTCAACCTCGGCTGCCGGGATCTGCTCTCCTCACCAGACCGACGGCGGTTTCATCCCCGTCCCGTCTCCCGCCAACATCAGAAAGATACAGAAAACAGTTCAGGGCACCTTCCCCATCTTCCTCTTTTTCTTTGCCTGCCACTGGCCCGAGTGTCGCCATCCCCGCACACCGCAGTCCACTCGCTGACGCTGCCTCCACCTCCCCCCTTCCGCGGCTTCTCCGATCGCCAAGAAATCATTTTAGCTCCTAGCCCCGGGGCCCTCCCGGCCGAACGGCCACAGCCGTTCACAGCGTCCACGGAGGAGGGAATGCGGGGGTCGGCCAGGAGTCCCCGGCCCGCCATCCCTCAGGCTTACCTGGGCCTCGACGACCCTCAGAAGGAAGCTCAGGGTGACCAGCAGCTGCACAGCGGCCGCCGCCCCCTGCCTGGCGCCGGCCCAGCGGGACCCCCAGCTCATGTTGACCTCTACCCCCCGCCGCCTCCCCTCAGGGCCGAGGAACAGCGGATGACCGGGGCGACGACCCAAGGGGACGGTTCCCGGTGGCAGAGGGACGCCAGGGTCCGAGCGCTGCACGCCGGCCGGCAGTCGGGGACGCTCCCCGCGGTGCGCGGTAGCTGGAAGGCAGGCGAGCCCGGCGCCCCCGCTTCATGCTCCAGGCGGCCCCGCCCCCGGCTTGCCTCGGGTGCCCGCGACCACGCCCCCATGCCGAGCGCGAGGCCTTGTGGGAGTTGTGGTCCCGGTTGCCGCCCCGGCACTGTGGTCGGAAGGCGGAGCGGGCGGCCGAGCAAACCTGAGAACTACAAATGAGGCGGCCGCGCCTCCTCCCCGAGGCCTGAGGCTCCTCGGCGACCAATGAGGCGGGACCACGCGGGCCTCCAAAACACCGAGAGGCGAGAGCTGGGGAGCCGGGGGCGTCCTCCGGCACCGGCTCCCGGAGCCGCGACGCGGCCGGTTGCTCCGGGAGACAAGTCCTCCCTGCGTGGTGCTGTGGCCCCTCCGTCGGTCGTCCGCGGAGCTCGCACAGCCGCCCGGAGCCAGGATCCGTCCACTACGTGTGAGAGTGAAAAATCGAATGGGGCGGCATCTTCCACTTTGTGGTCAGCGAGGTTTCTTTGTTTCGTTCACTTTTCCCCAGCCTCACGTCTGCTGCGGCTGCTGGGTTAGGTCCCCCGCGACTTGCAGAGGTGGCTGTCGCCCCAGACGTGGATGTCACCTCTTGTCCCAACTCCCATTCCTGTTTTGACGCATGCAAAAAGAATACACGCCAAAGAATAGGACAGAACCAGACATTTGTAATGAAACGTGGAAGTGGTTGGCCCGGCTTGGTAGCCTAGCAGGTAAAGTCCTCGCCTTGAATGTGCCAGGATCCCATATGAACATCAATTCATACCCCAGCAGCTCTATTCCCATCCAGCTCCCTGCTTGTGGCCTGGGAAAGCAGTCGAAGATGGCCCAAAGCCTTGGGACCTTGTACCCCCGTGGGGGACCCAAAAGAGACTCCAGGCTCCTGGCTTCAGATTGGCTCAGCTCCAGCTGTTGCTGCCAGTTGGGGAGTAAATCATCGGACAGATGATCTTCCTGTCTCTCCTCCTCTGTATATCTGCCTTCCTAATAAAAATAAATTTTAAAAAGAGAGATGTGGAAACCTAAACCTTTCTAGTTAGTTATGTGTTAGTTAATTTCTAACCCCCAAATAGTGTTCTAAGATTACATAAGGTTAACTATTTATACTTATAGGTTCTAGTTCAGCATGCAGCAGTTGGAAGTACTGAGTAAAGGATAATTGCTACTAGTTTTATTAATATCCTTTATTTCTAAAAAATTAGGCATACATTATCTTACATCTGTGTAGTGCAGGTTTCTCACCACTGCTGTAACAAATCACTGCAGATGGAATGATGTTAAAAAAAAAATTTAATGACCTCACATTTCCAAGGTCAGAGGTCCAAAATGGATGTATAGGGCTATGTTCTATTCTGGAAGCTCCAGGGGATCATATGTTTCTTTGCCTTTTCAGCTTGTAGAAGCAAGCACACACAAGAACCAGGTCTGGGACTACCTCAGATGAGGTTTCTTTGGGGATCCTCCCAAACCACTGGACTCAGAACTCCAACCACAGAGAGAATTGCAGGTTCAGTGGTCTGATCGTGGAGTGCATGTGTCAGAGTTGGATCTACTCGGTGGCTTTGAAAGAGCAGTGGACAGCATATCTGGTTGTACTTGGAGGAAAGAGCAATGCATTGGAGCTGCAGAGGACACCTGATACCATAACAGAGGATGGAGGACAGAACAAATTGATCAACTACCCCAGCCAAGAGAGAGATGGAGAGAGATTCTTCTTGCACTGATACAGATGCCAAATACCTGCCAGCTGACCCACCTCTGGCTGGTGGGCCAGGCTTCAGTCAGGAGTCTAGAACTCCTTTCAGGTTTCCCATGTGGGTAGCAGTGGCCCAAGCACTTGAGCCATCGGTCTGCTACTGCCCAGAATGCATCAGCACGAAGCTGGATTGCAAACAGAAGAGCCAGAACTCGAACCAGCCTTGGATGTGGAACGCAGCTGCCACAGGTGGCGACTCAACCCACTGCAGCACCAGTGCCTGCCTCCTGTTTTGTTTATGAATCTGCTGCTGAAGAGAGAAAGCTTTGCTTTGGTCAAAGCATTAACCTTCACCAAGATTCCTGTTTGTTATGTTGTGGCCTTTAATTGATTGGGATGATATGCTGCCAGCCCTGCCTTCAGACCAGAGATGGTCTCCTCAAGAAACCATTGAATTTATCTGGACAATAAGATGCTGGACTCTATGCTTGGTATATGCTTGCAATGAAAGAATCTTGACTGAATTTAAACTGTAATACTGCAACAAGGTGGAGGAATCCACTAAGAGGGGAGGGTACAGAGAGGTGTGGGAGGAATCCCAGAGTCTATAAAACAGTGTCATATAATTAATATAAAATAAATAAATTTTTTAAAATTCCTGTTTGTGCTGCCTTTGATGCTGTTAATAACATGGCCGATGCTATGCTGATCCGAAGCCAGGATCCAGGAACTTCTTCCAGGTCTCCCACATGGGTGCAGGGTCCAAGGCTTTGGGCCATCCTGGACTGTTTTCTCACGCCGTAAGCAGGGAGCTGGATGGGAAGAGGAGCTGCTGGGATTAGAACCGGCGCCCACATGGGATCCCAAGGTGTTCAAGGCAAGGACTTTAGCCACTAGGCCACTGTGCCGGGCCCATTGTCTTGAATTTTTACAAGACTTTAAAAAAAGTAATGAGTTATAAACTTTCCTATTTTAAAACTTTAGGTCCTTTAATAGCGATCTGGTGTCTGATATCTAGGACAAAATCCGTGGTAATTACTTCAGAGCCCTTCAAGGTTTGTCACTGAGACAGACATTGGAACAGTCATTGGGCCCAACTAGTTTAAACACCCATGTCCTCTGTCTGAGTTCCTGGATTTGACTCCTGACTCTGACAACTGCAGCTTCCTGCCAGTGTAGACCCTATGAGGCAGCAGATGAGGTCCAGCCACCCATAGAAGAGACTTGGATTGCTTTCTAGACTGAACTCTAGCTTGGCCTAACCCCAAGTATTGCAGGTGTTTGGGGAGTGAACCAGTGGATAGGAAATCTCTACCTTCTTGTACTTCAAACATTTTTCTAAAATATGTGTAATTGGAAAAACAATTTATTAGTCAACAGAGGAAAGCAAAGAGACAAGAAACTGTAAGACGGGGTTTGGATAGTTTTGTCCTCCTGGTGACCTGATCCAGAAGATAACAACCACATTATATCTGCTATTTGCTTGTTTTTAGCTTACACGGGCTTTTGGGGGATACATGGTGTTTTTTCACAGTGAGTGAATTGGAAGTAGCAAGTATTTGTCCATGAGAAATGAGTGTACCAGAATGCTAGTGATGTCTCTCCTGATCCATTTCAGTTATGACTGGATTGTTCCTTTGGGAGCAGACTGCTCTCCTGTTTGTTTTGTCACTCTCGTCTCTTAATCTCTGCTTTCCTTAAAACTACTTCACTCAAGCCAGAATTATGAGCTGCTTGGGTGATACAGTGTCACCTCCGCTTCCTGAACCTTTCTACCCTTAACTGTATTTGGTTTCTGTTCCCATGGCAAAACATCTGAGGCAGGCTAACTTTATAAAGATTCTGGAGGTGCAAAATATAGGGGCCTCCTCTGGCAATGGCCTTCTTGCTCACAGAGTCCCAAGGTGACACAGAGCATCACATGGCATGGATAAGAAGTGCTACTATCTTATTAGTGAAGAAGGGATATTGGTCAGACATAAGCAAATAGGCATCCTCTTAAGTCGTGTGTTAACTGAATACTTTAATCTACTTCCTTTGCATTAGTGGTTTTTTTTTTTTTTACTGTGAATAAATTATCACAGAGGTCCTGGCAGTGATACACCAAAAGTGTGCATGAAGACATTTGCATCCAGAAAAGGCAATAATATGCCGTTTGCAGTTTAAGTAATTGATGGTTTACTAATATCACCTGGGTTAGAGCTCATTACCTGTGTTGGAGCTCAGAAAAAGATGGACCAAAGTGTGGTGCTTTGGGATGCTGAACACATTGAATTCAAGCAAAGTAGGAACACTCAAGCTGATTTAGAGTCAGGGTCTTTTTCATCTTTCCTGTTTGGGGCTCTCCTTAAAGCTCTTTCTTGTGACTGAGGGGAGTTCTTCCAAGAGAAATACAATTGTCTTAAACCCCTCCCCTAATAATCTTATCAAATAACCAAGCAATTTCAGTCATCAAGCAGGAGAAGGGGCTAGAAATCATCACTAAGCCCAGTCTTATCATCTGTTCTTTTCAGGGCAGCTCCCAGGAATTATCCAAGAGACTTTAACTTCTAAATAAACCTTTGTTCATAATGTAGTTCTGCCCCCTCACCTTTACCACCTCCCCCAGAGCCCAGAAGAACTTTATCCCATATTATTGTCTATTTGGGGGCCCATTTATTTCCCCTTAAAAGCACAGTCTATCCCCTCTAAAAGTGCCAGCATCTTCCACTTCCTGCTGGCTCTTTCCCTTCCATATTCTATGTGGTTCCCTTGTACATAAACATGTTAACAAATGTGTATGCTTTTTCTCCTGTTAATTTATTTACTTCAAGTTTATTTCAGTCAAAAGTCTCAAACCTCCAGTGTAAGGGAAATTCCCTTTACTTCTATACCTGGATATAAGGTACAAAACAAAGGCTGTTTTATTTTTTTTGAATAGAGGAATTTTAAGAGCTTCTTAAAATCTGCTACTGTGAGAAAGGATGGTACCAGCTATGTCAGTCATCATTATCACTCCCCAAACACAAATGATAATTTGTAATTGATTTGATCAAGATATGGGAGGGAATTGCTTTAGAGGAACAATCAGCATAAAGAGTAATTCTGCTAGGGCCAACCAGGCCTGTGCTTTCCATGATTCTAAAAAGGGCCAAACAAAATCAACCATAGATGACTTATGTACATCACCTTTTCAAACGGGTGCTCTCAAATATGCTAAAGCCAAGATTGATCATGTACATATTGGCACCTGACATTATGGACAAAAACACATACTTACTGCAGATTCATTCTGTTTTGTTCTCAAATACAGATGATTTCCCCTCCTTTCC